TTAAAGCCGTCTCCAGCCATTATTAGTCTCAAAGTGGGTTCCTCGTCACCGAATTAGTGGTCAAGTTGTTGGACACAATAAATACGGATTTCTGTGAGATCGGAGTGTTTAAATGGGCACTGAGAAACCGTCGTCCTCATATACCACAAGCATAATGAAAGCTAGAGGGGGAGAAATAAACGAGACAGCCTTATGACAGATCATTTTTTAATAGAAAATATGCGGAAGGGCTATTTTTAAGACACATAGTTGTCATATAAAGCATAGGTAGATGTAGCAACATGAACTGTAATGACGTGGTGAAATTTCAAAATCGTTTTAATAAAACAAACTAAACCTCTGTATATGTTACATAAGAAAAATTGCATAACGTTAATTTATAATGTTTTAAAAACCTATCTATGAGTATTTAGTTGCTTTTTTGAACTATTTATTGTGACGTAATAAATATTTTTCCAATGAAAATGTTAGTCTAACTGTAAAAGGTTATTTAAACATTTACTTACCTCGAAAACCTCTTCTAATGATTTTTGTGATAGTGTCTCCCATGAGAATATTGTGTCCCACTTGAGCTTTACAGAAATATTAAACTATTCTCAAACTAAGCTGATCATGTTTAACAAAAGCAGTGTTATAACAGAAAATTAAAAGCAGCAGACGATGAATATATATATATATAGGTACATAGATAATGTACGCCTGTATTAGGTAAGAATAAAGTGACAATTAAAATCAGAATTATGAATAATAGGTTGTTTAGTTTAATCGACTGGATTTGAAACGAAATACATAACAACTTGTAAGCAGTAAAAAAAGAAACTTAATTCAACTTTATCTTAAAGCTAATTAATAATTAGTAAGATCATCTTTTCACATCAAGTTTATTATAATAATTAAGGGCTAGTGTGAACCATATGAAGCTGGTCAATATCATTAGAATATCTTAGGCACTCAACTGATGATTTGGTATTATTTAATTACTAAAATTTGAATATCCTTTGACTACACTACTTCAAAAGTTGAACACCTCAAAATTTCATCCAAATATACTGCTGCTATGGCTACACATAATTTTAATTGTATTTCTAATATATGACTACAATTGCTTTCATTGAAACCTTTATATCATAATTTATCATTATGCGTGAAATATATCTTTAAATAACACAGTATATTTCCTTTTAACTATTCTTTAATGATTTATGTTCCAAACATATAATAATTCTATTAATTGCACAGGCCTGCTATGGTTTTATTGTCTTGAAATTTTTGCATGTTCTACAGTATTTCCTGTATGCTGAATCCGAAAATGATATTCATTTTTCACCATCACGTACAGATTTTTCACAAAACGTCATAACGCAATACATAAAAGAAAGACCACAACACGTAGTTTTGAGATTAAAAGACGTAGATTTCACACAAAAAATCAAGATGAATGAGGATGCATATTCGTTTGACCTCAATGTTTTTCTCTTTTCTTCAGTTTGTTTGTATTTTTGTTAACAAATATGATAATAAAAAAGGTTCATTGTGGTAAACGAAATAATAATTTGACCTAAGTAAGAGTTTCTTTTTGTTCCCGATTTCTAAAATATCCTTACCTGATAGGAAAAAATGAATATTATTTTCGAAATCTGCTTAGCTGAATTATGGAAAATCCGTTATTAAAACCGAAACAACTTTTATGAAGTTTAAATTCACAGGTCTGTGTTATTGATTGCATGAATCAGAAATGTTCACTGTAGCTTAATATCCTCTGCATTACATATCCAGTAAAGTACTTTTTATGGCTTAAACTTAATATTAAGTTTGAAAATACATAAACCTGCTTAAAGTATTGCAAAATATAAATTAAAATATACAGAATGCCTACTAAAATGAGTATTTTACGTTCAAAACATTTTGTTCATAATATTCTATTGTTTAATCTCATTTAAATAGAAAAGCATATAAACCTATGTTACTTAAAAGTTTCTCCAAAACAAAAATAAAAATTGCATAAAGTCAGAATAAATTAATTCTAAAGCATTTTTACACAAGGTACTGTAAACAACTTACTGAGAAAAGGGTATCCAAAATTAATTACTGTTAAAATGTAGAAACCTGGCCTTCCTAACGTCTTCTCAATAACTGCCTAAAATTGGACAAAAACAAATAATGAAATTACTAATATTCAATTTTATTAAAACAGAGGCCGGATATAATAAAGTATGGAAACATCAATATATAATGAAACTTATTTTTTTGCTTCTCATTTCGATGATAAATCTGTAGATATAGCAAAAATTTTCTAGCAATTATTTAAACGATACTTGCACCAACTTTTCAGTTTTATCAATCAAACTGAAAAACAAACTATTTCGTTGAACTAGATTCTGAATGAGCTGGAACTTTTTATGAACGTTCAAAACTTTCAACTGTAATTCTCCTACTAGAAATAAGCTAGTAATGGAATACTCGATTAACTAGTTAATATTTACGACTAATAATCACTTCGGAAGAAATTATTATATCACTACTGAGCCTGATAAGACCCTCTAAGGAGAACTATATTTTGCGTACTAGTAAAACTGCAAACAAATACGTAAACAGTGATATTACGTATTGCGTTTTGTTTATTTATTTATTTATATCATTTCCCCCATGAAAAGTCTTTGGTGGGACAGATATAAGTTTATGAACTTACAACTCTAAAATTTGGGATGCGATTTCTCGCGCTGGACACAGCAGATAACCAGATGTGGCTTTGCTCTAAAAACAAACAAACCCACGTGAGAAATTATAACTTTAAAAATTATACATTCTTGGACCGAGTGCAGCCCAATGGTTAGCGTATTGGACTTTGGATCTAAGGTTCCATAGTTCCTCCCTGTTACCACACAAAATACAAATCGCGCTCCACAGCTTAGGTTAATGGGTGAGTGATAAAATTTACGTTCAAGTCCCACTCTTCAGTCTAACAAAAGAAGCTCAATATTTGGTGGTGGATAATGTTGACCATGTGCCTTCCCTCTAGGTCCAGGCACGTGCAACGTACGGCCCGTGGGCCGTATCCAGCCCGCGATGAGTTCTTAAAATATAAGGAAATCGCAGTTTTATTAAATTTTACTTTTGCTTCAAACGGTGTGGCCCACAAGTACATTTTACAATTTCTATCGGGCCCGCGCCCTGGAGGAAATTGCACTAGAATTTGGTCTACCACTTCTAAGTTAAGTAAATCTGGTACAAATACTTCTTCAGTAGCTTTAGGGGAAATTTAACTAACAAACAAACAGTTTCTTTATTTCTATGACTTTTCAGTTGTTTTCTGAAAATTGTTCTTAATGAAGCCATAAATCATGCTAAGATAACGATGTAGTACATCCCGTTCTCCGCGTTAGCTTCTTTAGTTAATATGTAAAATAATTAAATTATTTTCTGTTTGGACGCAGATAGGCACCCGAGTAAGTTACTCAACTTTCCATTTTGCAAGCTTTGGGAGATGCAATTTTTTTCAGACCTTCGATTTTCAACAGACTTTTAGAATAGGTTTCTGCTGATTCCCATTTTTAGATTTTTAATGCTTCAAGAGCCTTATCAATTTTTGTGGAGTTTTAGATTTAGCGTTTGCCTCAACATTTGGATTGTCGCAGGCTTTGGCTTTTGAAGGAGCCAGACTTTTGTGGTTTAATTCGGGTTAAGAAAATGGATTATTTGTTTCATTTTCATTTAACTTGCTGGGGTTATTCTTTTTTCCATTTATATTTAGCTGGATATATTTTTAGATTAACTTTAGATTAAGAGGGATCACACTGAAACTTGTGAGAGAAACAATTACATGTTTCTCACATATCTATTATCAGTTCTACAGATCCACGAGAAACGCGCCATATTGTTTTGTGTCGTATTGTTGTTTATTTTTGTGCCAATAATTATTTTTTAGATTTGTGAATTTTTTTCCGTTTCTCTTTCTTTGCACAATGAACTAGTTTCGAGTTTGTGGAAAAGCATGCTCTGTAGCTTGGTATCTTTGAGACTCCACTTAGCAGGCCCTAAAAATCTAGTCTTAGATAAATCTGTGAGGTGAAAAGTACCAGTGTATAGTAGGATAAGTAAAATGTTTGTGTTGCGATTAAGCTCTCTCCTATACCTCAGACATTTGACATTAATACAAAAGTTCCTGGCAACCATCGCACTACAACTGTGAGCCTAGGACAATGATTGAAGACCATCTGGAGTATACAGAAGACCAAAAAAAGTTCTCCCCCTGAGGTGAAACCTAAGTGACTGAGTATCTTTGGGGGTGCAAGTAGGCTGAGGTGTCCAAGACTGAGTAGACGGTCCCTTTAAGACCTCTAGATATATGTAAACTAGAGAAGCAGAACCATGCCTCTGATTCATACTACCCACAGAAGAGGAGGGAGATATACCAGTGGTGGATGTACTCCACCAACGTGTGTTGTTTCATCAGGAGATGAGACAGCAAACTCTCACTGATGAAATTAACTCGCAGTGAACTAGCAAAGAGCTTCTTTGTGAAATTGTGCATCTAGCCAAGCCAAGAACAAGATATGGGATACCAATGGATGATAAGTTCTACCAACAAGAGCTGTTTCATCAGCAGTTAAGACAACAAGTACTCAAGCAAGAAATCATCAATCAGTGGGGTAGTAAGGATCTTCCCCATGAAGAAGGGCACCCAACCCTCCCAAGAGTCAGAAGCGAGGTGGCATTGGTGGACAAGGTCCACAAAAGTGAGCCTTTTCACCCAAATATGGGATGGCAAGCAGTTGCAAGGAAAGATGAAGATTACAATTGAGTGTGAATCTCACAGTAAAAAAGATAACTAGACACCAAGCCATGAGGTAGGAATGAGAGATCATTGGTGGATGAAAGCCACCAACAGGAGTTGTATCCTCATCAGGTGAGGCAGTACTGATGGTGATCAGTGGACTAACAAAATACTCAATAAGTGATAAAACAAACAAGAGTGATGCAGGGAAGACCCTTCCTAAAAAGAGAGGAGATTTTTCAAGGAACCTACAGGCCATAGGACGAACAGGAGTACAGCAGGAAAGCCCTGAAAGTGGTATAGTCCACATCTCATGATTTGGCAACCTGCAATCAAAAGCTGACAGCCCTCTGAGTTGGAACTCTTAGTTCATGATAACTCAACTGCACCCTCATCATATCAGTCTATCCTCTTCTAGATGGAGCGAGTCCACCCATGAGAGACCTATATCAATAACATACATGCCAATAATGGAGCCGAAGTATATCACGCCCTCTTCTCGCCGCTCTATATATGGATAGGTAAAAGTGCACATATCAAGACTTTTTTGTTACAGTTACATTCAAAATCTAATTAAATTACTTTATTATCAATATATACAAATAAACTTGGCATCAAGACGTAGTTGACACTTTAAATTTTAATATTACTTAGATATTTTTTAACTTCAAAAAGAATTATTTAAATACATTTTCAAGTTCCACTTGTTTGTGTAGTATGAATTTTTTTCTCCACCTTGACCACTTTCTATAGTTTTATTCCTTCTCCATGATGTCCTGAGTTTAACGTAAATTACTCATGGTATACGTATACTAAAGCGTAGTCTAACTTTTATTGCATTTAATATTCTTTGTTTAGGAAGTATCACCAGACCCACTTGTTACTTCCTCCTATCACATCTTCTCTTTCACAGATTGTGTATAATTCTCTCTGATGTTTACTATTACATCCTTCATAACTAATAGAAAGACATAATTTAATTTACTGAATGACGAGAATACTGCTTTGTTCTTAGTAAAGATGTTTAGTTTATTTTCCTACATATTCAAAGTCATTGTACCCCAGTTCAGATCGAACAACTAGGGGAATTATTTTAAGCTACTTATACCTTAGTTGGAAAGCCGATTAAATTATATTCGTTACAGGAAATTACTTGCTTTGTCTGTGTTATTATTTTTTGTTCTTAAGTGCGTATTTCAAGTAAATATTTTTATTCAGTTACTCGTAATATCGTTACAAGGATTTAGAGTTAAATTTCATTGGAGGACCGACAGCAAAAAGTCAAACGTAATTGCTAATTTTTTTATTTATTGTTATAAAATTAACTAAAATATCGAAACTAAAAACTTATTAGGTTTGATAAGATTAACTTAGGTTAGATAATGCAAAAATAATAAAAAAATTCTCCACAAGGTATGCTCCCGAGTAGCTCGTGCATTAAGTCATTCAGTACCATAGCATGAGCTATGTGTTCACCATGTGATTGATTTACACCTTGTACTGCAGAAATGTTCTTTGAACGTAGTTCAGAGAGAAATTATGCAATAAACTTAAATAAAAGCAAATATCAACTGTTACAAATCTAAGCTGTTTGGAGTAAATAATTTCTATTTCCTGTTACAGTATACAGTCATTCTACAAAGAAAAAATTGGTAATTTAGATTTATTTCATATTTTTGTAGTGATTACAAGGCTGGTCAAATCGACTAAATCTTTATAGTGTTTTGGTAGAGAAGGTAACAGATAAAATATAAAATTGTAAAAAAACTGTGATATTCATTTAGGAGATCCTATGGAAATATAATTTTAAAACCATAAGATGAAAGAGTGTTTTGTAATACAAAACCACGTCAGTCTAGGTCACACTTTGACCCCTAATATTCATAGATAACTCCTTAGTAAAATTATTTAATTTTAAAAAAAAATCTGCTTTTTTGTATACAAACAAAGCTTTAAATTTTGACTAAAAACTTGCCAAATTTCCTGAAGATACACTTACTATATTAATAACTATAGTATTATGCTTTCATGGTTATTTGATGATTCAGTGGTTATGTGATGGTCGCAAGGTCAGTCAAAGTAATTGAGCCTGAATAGAAAGAGTTAAAAGAGCACCAACGCACCCATGGTCTGTTTCTAGGGTTTACGCAAGTGATTACCTGGAACCACTGGATTTAGAAGCAGGTGATGCAGCACCTTATCCAGAGCCTAGACAGTCAACACTACAGGGATGCTCTAATTGACAAGTTTATAAGGGAAGTGCTAACTAAGACCATGGGGTACAAGAGATTCGTTCCTTGATAGATGCAGTACCTGTGGAGATGTGATACGAGGTGATCACCTAAGTCAATTCACTTGAAAAG